ACAGCGGTCTCTTATAATTTTTCCTGTAGATTTATTATTATATTTCATTATACAGTCTGTCCAAGATGAGGTTGAACAGCATGGGGATCTCGAAAACGGTAGGAGATACGAAGTCGGTTAAATAGGGAAAAAGGTGCGCATTCGGAGGCTCATACAAGAGCCTTCGAAAATTTTCAAAATTATTTTTAGTTTTTTAGTTATATCGAAAAAAGTGAATTTTTGGAATATCTATTTTATTTTTTTTCTCCGTTATTATTAGAGATACAGAAAAACTAAGAATATTTTTTTATAGCAACTTTTGATGACGTTCAACGTGGTCATACCGATTTTTGTATGCGACGTTTCGTATCCGTAGAACCATCATCAACTTTTGTTTTTTAAATACGGTTCTGATAATTTTTTCACAGATTCCGAGAGGTTTTTTCATTCTGAATTCAACCAAGTATTATACAAGGTGATTCGAAAGTGTTTCGACCTATTTCTATCCATCATCAATGTTTTTTCGGAATTCCAAAGGAAAAATGCCATCAGTTCCACTTATTTTGAAGGAAAATCAGTCAACACACTAACACCTCATCAACTGGTTTCAATCAACAACCCATTTCATTTTACGGAAACAAAAATTCCATCCATACAAATTCAAAATATGTCAAGCGCTAAAAGGAAATGTCAAAATTTTGCAGATTTCCCGTGAACAATCATCTGGACTGATGAAAGCATGGTCACTAATCATGGTATCTTCGATAGAAAAAATACACATCATTGTTCACGAGAAAATGAACATTTATACATCACAGCGAGACACCAACACCGTTTCGGCTTTAATATGTGGGTTGCAATATTTGGTACACGAATAATTTTTGGTCTTTTATTTATTCACCATGAAACACAGACTTCCTAACGTTATAGAAATTTGCTTGAGAATCATTTCGAGGAAGCTCTGGATGATTTACCGATTGCGGAAGTTCAGAACTGTTGGTTTCAACAACATGGCGCTCCGGTACATAATTCCAGAGAAGTTCGTGCGTTTTCATCCAGAAAAATGGATTGGTACTCATTCTGCAGTCCCTTGGCCGGCGCGGTCACCTGATTTGACACAGCTGGATTTTTTTTAGGGGATATATCAAAAACTTTGTACACGCAAATAGCTTTGATGATGAAGAAGAACTAAGGGACAGTGTCATCGAAGCATTCAATAGAATAACCCCAGAAATGCTAAGTAATGTCTTTGAAGCAACTGTGAGAAGAGGATATCTTTGTTCAGAAAATAATGATTAACATTTTGAACATTTGTTATGAATGTTTCTGAAGGTATTATTGTCAGAGTTGAGTTGTTAAAGTAATTCGTGTAGGGATTCATCAACAATTTTAAGCGCCGCATTGAATGATGTAGTGAAATATAAATGATCAGAAATAAACGGAACTGATGGCACTTTTCCTTTGAAAGTTCGAAAAAACATTGATGATGGATGGAAATAGGTCGAAACACATTCTAATCACCTTGTATAATACATGGTTGAATTCAAAATGAAAAACCTTTCAGAATCTGTGAAAAAATTATCAGGACCGTATTTGAAAAACAAAAGTTGATGATGGATACGGATATGAAACGTCGCATGAAAAAAAATCGGTATCATCACGTTAAACTTCATCAAAAGTTGTTTTGAAAAAGTATTTTCAGTTCTTTTGTATATCTAATAATAACGAAAAAAAAATAAAATAGATATTCCAAAAATTCACTTTTTTCGATATAACTCAAAAACTAAAAATAATTTTGCAAATTTTCGAAGGCTCTTGATATGAGCCTCCGAATGCGCAACTTTTTCCCCATTTAAACGACTCCGTATCTCCTACCGTTTTCGAGATCCCCATGCTGTTCAACCTTATCTTGGACAGACTGTATACTACAACGAGCTCTATTCGGAAATGTGGACAGATCTGAAATATTCGGATTTTCATGGTCTACTTTTGTTTGTTGAAGGGGTCGATATCTCAGAAACCACTATAAGGCATTTTTTATCGGAATTGTGACTAGCCTATTCGATTCAGGCTTAGCGGAAATAACCCTATACGAAATTTCAACGCAAAATTTCATATAAGGCGTTAGGTATTCGATGAACAATTTCGAAATTTTCAATTCACCCTGCATCAAAATCTAAGGAGTTCATATAACCGGTGAAGTAGTCATTCACTGGAGGCGTACAATACGAAGTTCCATCATTGTAACTTCTACAGGAAGATCTATCTACCTCTCTCAACCAGAAATCGATAAAATTGAAGTTGAGGTTCACTATTCTGAAAACTCTAGTAAACCGGTTTTGACACGCTTCACTATATGTAGTTACTTTGAAAATCGTCTTGATGGATGAAGAGCTGCCGAATATAACACAAATGGAATGACAGAGAAACACTCTCTTAAGACTGCAAGGAGATAATATACTGATGCTTGATGTGATTATGATAAAATGCCGATTTAAGCGAGATGGAAAGAAAATTTTAGGTGACATTGGAATTTGTTATGTATGGAGAACATTTCCTCGAATTACTTAGCATTATTCATATGTCCAGGGAACAAGATATCGATCAAAATAAAAAAATTCCCAACATCAATTTAATTGATTTTCAATTGATCTAGAGAGATGTTCTTGTAGAAGTAACAACGATGAAACTTCGTATCTATGACTCCTATCCAATGGTTATATCATTGCCTTGAATTTTGATACACGGTGAATCGTAAAATCAAAAACATCAAAAGTTGCCATAAAATAACTTACACCCTATGTTACATTTTGATTTCAAATTTCTTAGAGGGATATTTTAGCTATGCCTGAATTGAATAGGCTAGTAAAAGTTTCGAAAAAAATTGCCTAATTGCAACCAAGTATCGAAGGAATTTTGGACTTGAAATTTCGCCTGTTTTATTTACAAAGTTTTGGCATGGCTATAAGCTCACCACTTCCTCCAATTTTGAGCAATATATTTATGGAGAATCTCGAAAAAAACATTATCAAACAATACTACGAAAAACAACCAAAAACGTGGTGGAGATACGTAGTCGTAGATTACATTTTCATAATTTGGGCATAAAGTTCACTTTGGAAATTGAATCTGACAATCAGTTACCATTTTTAGATGTCCTTATTAAAAAATCAAACAATGTTTTCGTAACAAGTGTATATCGTAAAAAGACTCATACTAACAGATACCTCGATTTTCAGTCAAATCATTAGAAAACTTAAAAAAAAGGAATATCGAATCACTTCATGTTCGAGTCAAATCATATCATCTGAGCAACAAATTTTCATTAACGAAATCCACCACATTAAAGATGTTCTTCAAATCAACGCCTATCCAAAGAATTATATTGATAGAACGATTCATCAAATTGAAATCTAACAAAAACACTACACCGAAAACAACCATCAATAACGACAAATATAATACCATACATTACCGGCATATCTGAAAAAATGAAATGTGTTGGTGATAAGTTCCAAGTGAAAACAGTGTACAGAACTGAGAATACAATTAGACCAATTCTAACTCAAACAAAACCGAAAAATGAGAAACAATCATCAAACATTTTTATTTATAGTATACCTTGTGTTTGTGAAAAGTATTATACAGGTGAAACCGAGAGACCTCTCTCTATAAGGATGGACGAACACAAGTACAATATCATGAATATAAGCTAATTCAACATATACTTACTGAAAATGGACACCATATGGCAAAGTGGAATAATATTAAAATCATAGGAAAGGGAGATAACAACAAAAAATGAAAAATTGAGAAATCCACTTGCATTCTTCTAAACGTAGACAATAGCATTGCTTTCTGTTTGGTTGATATAGATAGAACATGGAAATGGTAGATCCAAGATCAATTAATGAAAACATCTTGTAACTCATTTGTATATTGACATCATCACTCATCCATATGCCAACATCAGTATGACACTGAGAAGTGTCAAACTAGAACAGAATTTTTGAAGAAAAATATTATTTTGCATTTTTATGTTGAAAACGGGAACAAAATTCGAAATTTTTTCAATATATCTATATTTCTTCTCTTCAAACTTTTTTCAGAACAATGTGTCACTGACAAGCTATTGGATTTTTTTTTGGCTTCCAGCTAGAATAATTTGTTAAACGCAGTGACATTTTGGGGTAGATCATCTGATTTTTTCAACTACACATATATTGAAACAACACTCATATATTCATTTTGTAGAAACGGGGAGAGAAAATCCCAAATAATCAAGTAAAATGAATGTAACACCTCCTCGATTAACACACATACAATTCAGTTGAGGCTCAAAAAACACCTTATTTATTCAATAACTGTACTAAATTCCATTCAAGTCGGTTCAACGATATTTATAATATTTTATGACTACGGGTTATTTCAAACACACCCTGAATTTAGAAAACAAAGCAACTCCACAGTCATGATTTGAGAAATACGCAGCAGAATTTTGAAATAAATTTATTTCGAAAACGGGGGTACAACTTGAAATACTTATCAACCTTATGCCGCCTGTTTCCCAACAGGTGAAGCTAGAACGTCGTCCATTGTTGCAGTTGCATTGATTGAGCTGGGAGTAATTATAATTGAACAGAGTGTGGTTGAATAATTGATGTGAATTGTAGAATTTGCACCAAGAAAATAATAACTTGTTCTAGTAGTTGTAGTAGTGTTCAAAGTTCAAGTTGCTTATATCGTTCACCGGTGAATTTACAATAACCACTTCATATTTTCCAAAATATTCGATGTCTGGTACCAATCCAAATAATTGTAGTTGCCAAGACCATCTTCTGGTGAAGTATATATATTCTCAAAGCTTATCGACAGTGAGTACCTAATACTTACCTACCAATTTCATTGAAATCAACATCGTTTGTCAGTTGGTAGATAAACAGTATTGAATGAGAAAATCAATTGTGTTCTTGTCATCTACATAATAATTTGAGTGTCTCAAGCAAAAGAAACCACATCACTTATATAACTCCTAATGCCTTCGCAGCGAACTGTCCAAATATTTCATTCGATACTTGAAATAACTTTTCACCTTGTGTCGCCTTTTTCTCAGCAGGTAAAGCTAGAATAGTAACACAAAATGTCTGAGGAGGACCCTTATTCACATCCGTAACGTTTCCTGTTTCTGTTGCATTGATTGAGCTAGGAGTTGTAGTAACTGAACTGGGAGTGGTCGAACTATTGTTCAGAATTGTAGAATTTGTCTCAAGAACTGAAGTATTGATACTAGGAGGAGTAGTCGTACTATTCAAGTAGCTTGTGCTGTTAACTGCTGAAGTATTTGCAATAACCAATGTATTGTTAACAAACGTTACATTCCCGTAGATGGTAGCTGTTGAAATGCAAGGTAAGCTAATCGTAGTGACATTTTGTGAAGATTGCTTGCATTCGGGTGCAGAGTTATTCAAACATGGTACCGTGCTTTGCACACAATTAGTTTGTTTCTCATTGGTACATGGTACCGTCGATGCAGCCTTGGCAACGCACATAACGGCACCATTATTGGTACACAGAGAAATTGTATTGGAAGGACAGAAAGAACCGCTGTCACCAACACAAACAACCACGGCGTTGGGCTGGATTTCCGCTTGTTTGGGCACGTTCTGGTTGTTGTGGTAGTAATGGTGTACTTCGTAATGGTCGTATCTTGGATAATAGCCGCCGCCATAGTCATAGTTGTTGAAGTGGTAGCTCGGGGTACTGAGGCGCGCCAAAGAGTATCCCAGAAAGAATCCTAGAGTGCCACTACCTGTATCGTGGGTGGTGTAATGGTAACTGGGAGCAGGGTACCCGCCATAGTGATGATTATTGTTGTTGATGATGGTGATTCCACCGCCTCCTGGATGGTATGCTGGAGGGGCATGGCCGTAACCTGGGTTGTATGCTGGAGGGGCATGGCCGTAACCTGGGTTGTATGATGGAGGGGCATTTCCATAGCCAGCTGGACTGTAGGCAGGAGGATGGCCGTAGCCTGCGGGATTGTATGCTGGAGGTTGGCCGTATCCCGCTGGGTTGACACTGGGGTTGTATGCTGGTGGGTTCTGACCATAATGGGCTCCTGAAAATGGTTCATTTCATTCAGTCAGTTCGATCCGATATAAATATCCATACAGATATCAAGATATCGATGGTTTAGAGCACGAATGTGTTTGGTATATTCCAACCCAATTCCATCATCAGATTCAAATATACCAAGTGCACAAAGTTACTGAGTAGCTAAACAGCCATTCCCTGTGCAGATATGTGACAAGTAGGAAATATTTGGTTTTCCAAAGCACCATTCGGGTCGATTCTGTTTGCAAATAGCAATATGGTTGTAGAGAAGATATTGCTATCATAGCAAGATTCGAAAAAGTGGAATTCTTATCATCGATTTTTGGCAATATGATCTGTCAATTTCAATGACATCTGGTCAGCTTTCTTGCTATCTCGGCAACATCTATTTTGTGCTTGCTATCTTATAACAAGGTAGTGGATTCTTTGTTTCTGCACTACAAATTCTTCCAACTGTATGAAAATTCAGAAAAAAGTGGATTTAAAACATATGAGATTTCAGTTGTGTCACAGACTCCTCGAAAACCTTTCCTCAAAGTTTCAATTCGTGAAGAATTATTGAAAAACATAAAATGTTGATTACAAACATATTGGATTGGTTCACTACTGTGACCAACTACTTGAAAACCTTTTCTTGAAGTTCCAATTTGTAGAGGAAATATGAGACTATAATTTCGGCATATCAGAGAAATTTCAGTTGCCTGATGGATAGTTTATCAAGCTATTTTGCTAGAATATTTAAAAAAAATCACGATTATTTTCATCCGGCTTCTAGTTGTTTTCTCATTTCGGGGACATGATTGATTACTTGCCAGTCGCACAACGACGACCAGAATCAGCAAATACAAAATCTACCGATTTGAACAATATAATTTTGTAAAATGTCAGCGCAGGACTGAATAATTTGAGAGGTTAGATGATCATGAACTCTTCTTCTTCATGAAATAATGGCGGAATGGATACCTTACACTTAAACAATGAGTTGGAAACAGTGTTGTCAGCTCAAAAATTCTCAATTTTTCAACAATATTGCTATCACTTGAACTCATAACCAGTCTTGCAGTTACTATGCAAACAGAATACAGATCTTATTCAGTGCAATATTGTTATATGTTATGATCATAACAATATTATTATCTTAGCAATGTTATTACAAGATCCGAACAGAATCGACCCGATTGTCGTATGATTTGAAGTCTCACCAGTTGGCGTTCGGAGTCATAAGGCGTTTTCGGAAACCTACTCGGGTTGACTCGATCCCTAACCTGCACGTTCGTTTACCTAACTCGAGTAACATACCCATGTTCGGAAACTTCGGTGTTACTTACTCGATCACTAACTCGGGTTCATGTTTCGCAACCCTGCTCCAAAGCAGGGTCAGCCAGAGTTACTACCTCAGATCATACACTTACTACCACAGAACTACACACGATTCATGTATTTCTAAGGTCACTTCAGATATTATTTGATTTCATCAATTGAATAAGAAATCAATTATGTTGAATAGTATTAGTTTGATGATGAAAATACACCAACATCATGAGCAGAAGCAATATTCATCATTTTATTAAAGATATGGAGAAATTGATTCGAAAATATTGATATCGTTTAGCAAACTGAAAAAATTGCATACAGCTGTAAGAAATCAAGAAGTTCTATTCGAAGAGGTATGAAGCTAACTCAATAAAATAGTAACCTGATAAGTTCGTAAACTATAGTATTAGGATAAGTGATCCGACTGATCCATCACGTGACCCGTTCAGATCGAGTCAACAACCCAGAGTAAGTTTCCGAAAACGCCTATACTGATAATTTGTTAGTGGCAAATTATGTTTTCACGTTTGGATCTTCGTTTGACTATATACATGTAGGGGCTCATTGACTGCATTATTAGTAGGCTGTTTTGTTCGACAAACAAGTCTGTTCGAACAAAAACGACGCAAAAATGACGAAAAAATGACGCAAAAATGAAGTGTGTGGCTGTAAAATGTTCGATTTCGGTGGGTATTTTGCGAAATAGACAAAAAAATAATCACGCCAAAAAACACTCGTGGTGGTAATTTTTTTGAAATAATTTTTAACTAGATCAGCACTCGTATTTGTTGCTGTAGAGAAATCCCACTCGTAGACTTCGTCCACTTGTGAGATTTCTTTAGCAACAATATAGATTCATGCTTCTAGTAAAAGTTATCTGAAAATCACCACCATCTGTGTAATTACTGTTGAAAATCCAACACCAGTAATGTTTCATCAACCAAATTGGGATTTTTTCACAAATTACCAGCATCGTATAGTGATTTTGGGCTACTAAACTGAGTAGAGACCATCTATCTAAGGCTAAGTATCAATTGGTGCCCAAACTGCATCTATTATACAGTATGGTATGTCATACCACCAGCTGGGCTAGTGTGAGGTGTATGGAAGGCTAAGATTCGAAATCTTTGGTGCTGGTAGGCTTCAACAGGAACGGAGGTTCGGTAAGGAGGATTAGGAGAAGGACGAGAAGATATCTGTGCAACAGAGGTCAGCAAAATGTAGCCACTAGGGCCTAAGAAACTGCCTCCCCTTTCACTATATCACTACTAGTATTTACCTAACAAAGAAAAATGAATTGATGAAATTATAATTATTCACCACTTGTAGTAAGCCGAAGTTGATATAAAATGAAAGAGCATAACATGTTACATTCTGAAATGGTATTTTCATGCGACTAAAATAGGTAGAGATAATTCAACCACTGGTGGTATTACAAGTGAATATTTGATCAAATAGAAAACCTCATACCGTAGGAAGATGTCACGAAAATAAGAAGTATACTCATCAGTTCTACAAAATATTGACCTCACGTTTCAGTAGGATAAATAATTGTTCATTCATTCAGAATATCTGCATACTACATTTCACTTGTTTCTTTATTTTGTACAATTATTTATATCGAATTGTTCAGTGATTGTTATGTTCGTGATTTTTCCGGAGACGAGTAACCATTTTGAAAATTCTAGCACTCTATGGACGTACCTTGACTGTTGCCCAGTTGTCCAACATTTTTGGGTGGTCCTACTGGTTGGCCTGGCGAAAGACCTCCTGGAGGTTGAAAGCCTATAGGTCGAACATTTCCAGGTCCTGTGAAAGAAATATACCAAGTGAGGTAGCAGCATTATTGAACTTACCTATAGTCGAATAGGATAATTGGATTTTGGTCATTATTTTCAACATCGAATAAATGATTGATTTGTTTCTTTTAGGTTCAAAATAGTTATTTCCTCACGACCATCTATGAAAATATGATACAGCACACTGTGTTAACTTCGAAAGTATCTCATATCACCATAAAAATGTGAAAGTAATTCGAACCGTGTGGGATTAATACCGCACGCTCACGTTGTCTCTGTTTGGTCTCCATGATGTATGGATAATTATAATATTGAATATCAATACTTTACTATCACTGTATAAATTTTCATTTTAGTGAGTCTCACACTGCATCATTGCATCATTGTCTCAGTAATTGTCTTAATCATAGTTTTACCAAGGTGAATAGAATATTAACTCATCATATTTGGACCTTTATGCATCACAGTCTTTAGGCTCAAGAATTATGATATGAAAATTGACAATGTCAAGAGACCCGTCAGTAGATAGGTACAAAAACAAATTCTACACACCAGAGATAAAATGTAATCTATTCACCAGTCAATGCCATGATTTGTGACATTGATTTCCAGGAAATCTCTATTGCAATTTTATCTTTGTATTTTGAGCCCTTCTTGTCCCAAAGATGGAGAAATTTCTCCACCAAATCTATCAGGGATTCTTCTTTCAGGCTCATGATTTTTTTATATTTGTTATCGAATGTGATCAAATCATCAGAATGATGGTATCAATTATTGACACAGTACAAAATGACAATGATTTTTGGGTGACAGACATAAAATTAAAAATAATTTGTGATTGTCAAATATGGCTACACATGCGCATATCTTATGTGGTCTCGATCATAAGCATAAAAATTAAAAGTTTGTAACTAACTTTCAGGGTCATGATTTGATGATTATGATTAGGACTAAGACTAAAAATGTTGCATGAATTCCCCTATTGAAATGTATGCTCATAACTTGATTTTATGATTGAAACAAAGACTGTGACTAAGACTAAGACTGAGACGATGATACATAAATAGGCCCTCACTACTAGATGTTCAGCTAATGTTGAGTTATTGCTGATTTAATGTCAAGATGATGTTGTTCTGATAATAAGTTGATGTGGAGTAATGTTGAATTATAATTGAGTCGATGCCTTTGATGTTGATTTGATGTTGATTTAATGTTGAGATAAAGTAATCGATATAGATTTGATGTTGAGTTCATAGTAATTTATTGGTAATTCGAAGTTAAGTAAATGTGAGTTAATTGTTAAGTTGAAGTTAAGTTCATTTTAAGTCGATGTTGAGTCATTGGTGAGTTAATGTAAGGTTGATGTTGAATTAATGTTGAGTCAATGTTTAAACAAGCATCATGTAATGATGAATATTGATAGACAAGCACAAAGTAAGTTACGATATATGAGCAAAAAGCAAGGTATCTCACCTCCATCATACGCATTCCCTGATTTCACACTGCCAAAGGGATCACCAGATTTGGGCGGTCCTAATGGTCCAGAACCTTGAGAACCTGGAGGCTGCCAACCAATTGGTCTTCCTGCTGGATCGGTGCCAGAACCAGGGTACCCAGGAGGCCGATAAACAGGAGGTGACGGGTTAGACGGTGCGGGACCTGATGGCGAAGGGTGTGATGGCGAAGGGTGAGATGGTGAGGGGTGAGATGGCGAAGGGTGAGATGGTGAGGGATGAGATGGCGAAGGGCGAGATGGAGAAGGGTGAGATGGTGAGGGGTGATATGATGGAGAAGGACGGTAAGCTGAAAGTGAAAATAGGTTGGTTAGCATGTGGTATTTTCATCAGACACTATTCGTTCAGGATACGTCCAGAGATTTGTGAAATTTCATATTTTTCTTCCACGAATATCTTCCAACAATGTGTTCTACCTATCAATTGAATTCCTCCTTCAGGTTTCTAATAGTGAAATTTCAAGTTGTGAGGGAGATCATCTGATTTGTTCCCACTCTCAAAAGATTACATTTTCACCTCCAAATCCAAATGTATAGAACCTCAAATTCAGAATCAGAAATTAATAAGAGAAAGAACATGCAGGAAAATAGAAAGTAAACAATTCGAATCAAGTTTTTTGCGTTTTCTTCAAATATGTAAGCGGATTATGGAAATTCGAGAATACAGGATGTTATTTTTGGGGCTCAGAAAAATGTTCAATTTTTGTTGATCCAGACCTGGAGTTTTCTCGTGACTTATAGGTCAGTTTCCTAGGTGGAAGAAGGAGGGCTTTTTCTTATCTGTTGGAGCGCACGAAAGGAAATCCATGTTCGAAGAAATTACGGTAAATTTCAATATATCATCAACTCTGATATTCCCTAGAGATAACATGAAGTATACCAAGAAATAAAGAAAGGTAAACAAACATCTGCATCAACTGTTATTATAATAATTTTGTAGCTTACATAATTATATTTTGCAGGCAATAAACCTTCCATCAAGAAGTTTCTGAAAATCTAATTAGTTTCTATTTGTTCCAAGATATAAAAATAAGTGAAATTGAATGATGAAACCAGGTGTTTACCTTTTTTTGCCACTAATTATACTATATTTTCGAATGGAGTACCTACCTTTTGAAGTCTAAGATATAATAATATTCATTTGAGATAAACAATATACTTCAGAATTACCAACCGCATGCATAATACAGTTCTCAAAACAATAAATACTTATACCACTCATCATTTCACTCTTTTTCGACAACCTGTATTTTTTGAAGAAATCAACCGATTTTTATGCGGTTTCCGATATCAGATTTTTTTTATAGAAAGTCAGTTATATAATGCTGTATTGCGACTTGGCCTCGGGACATTTTCGTGCATGATTTCTTCTTAATTCGTCATTGGAACAGAAATAGTTTCCAAAAGTCGTCTTTAAAGCATTATAGTAAAATATATGAGGTGAAAGGGGAAAAGAGAAAATCTCATTTGAATAAAAAAAATTAAAAAACGGTCACTAAAACCATGGCCTATTCGATTTATGATATTCAGAAACGGCCTCTTCTCTATATCCACTATTTTTATCAGACTAGTAACCCGGGACATTTTCGGAAATTCACGGCTAATTGAAATTCAGGATGAAATTTGTAATTATTCGGTGCCCAACTACGAGACACAGAAATTTCAGTACAATATACAGGGTATTTCACAAATCATCTGACAAATTAATAGAACTATACAGTGTTGCATAAGAAGTCGATTGTTTACACGAAAAGAAATCAAAAATCAGAATATAACGAGATTAAAATTCATAACAATACTCTTCCATGGAAAAATCATGCCGGATCTATGGCGAAAGCTGCTTCACTACTGAAACTCGTATTTTCATTCCGTGCGAAGATATACTTTACACCTCAACAGCTTCATGATCTATGAAGCACATATACTGTGCCACTTTCAGAATACTGTTCTCACATAATTATTATGGTGTTCAGCACCCAAATATACATACGCTGTTACTCTTAGATTCGATCCAGAGAAAAGCAACTCGCCTGGTGGCTATAATGTATGACTCACTAATCCTTTGATCTCATTACAACTTCGTAGGAAAGGCATCAACCTTTCACACTTTCTATGGATACTTCCACGGGAAATGTTCCTCAGAAATCCCTATGCTATAATTCCTACGAACTCGACTTGCCCAGTCAGCACATCCTATCGTTGTCAACCTTGAAACATGTCGAACAACACTTCACCAAAATTTGTTCGTCTATAGGTCGCGTGCACGATGACCGACCCTGGAGGCAAAATATTGAAACACAACCTCACTCTTCTGTGAATTATTGAAACACAACCTCACTTTTTCATTTGTTTTTCATTGAATCTTGCGTTATTCATTAATTCAAGCATGCCTTCGCATTGTGCTTTTGTACAATGCACAAAAAATGCAGCAAGAGACTAGGGAATATGATTTTTCAGGTAAATAGTCATCTCACATAGTTATCATTTTAAAATGGTGTCATTCCTTATTAAAATTCCTTCTGCCTTCTGCCACTCCTGCAATACAAGCTAATACTGCTGATAGATTGAAAATGTCTACAACACACACGATCGTCAGCATGTCACACCAGTCCTCCCGATTGATTGCATGAATCCAATCTTCTTGCATTATTCTAGAAATTTCAGGTATATTTCTATTAGCTCTTATTGCAGAAGGTACGAAAGCGTAGAAGCGCCACATGATATATTTCTTTTAATAATTGACAGATATAACTGTCAACTAGCCTAATTGACAGATACTAAGTCGTAAGTAGTATACTTGACAGATACTAAGTCGTAAGTAGCATACTTGACAGATACTAAGTGGTAAGTATAGTATACTTGACAGATACTAAGTCGTAAGTAGCATACTTGACAGATACTAAGTGGTAAGTAGTATACTTGACAGATACTAAGTCGTAAGTAGCATACTTGACAGATACTAAGTGGTAAGTAGTATACTTGACAGATACTAAGTCGTAAGTAGCATACTTGACAGATACTAAGTGGTAAGTAGTATACTTGACAGATACTAAGTCGTAAGTAGCATACTTGACAGATACTAAGTGGTAAGTAGTATACTTGACAGATACTATATAAGTCGTAAGTAGCATACTTGACAGATACTAAGTGGTAAGTAGTATACTTGACAGATACTAAGTCGTAAGTAGCATACTTGACAGATACTGGCTCAGAGCTAGTCGACTTATCAATGATGATTCAACTGTAACATATTAATACAACAAAATACTGCATAAGCTTGTATGACATTTTTTTTCTAATTCTTAGTGTTCGACCTCGTAAAGCCTCATGAACGGCTGAACTGGGTCAACAACCTATATATTTTTGAAATCAGAAAAGGAGGATTCTCAATTCATTCGAAAAGTATGTATAGGGTGTTCCGTTTAAAATATCGAAGTTGGTACCCATTTCTTATATCAGCACCTCGTACAGTGAAGATTTGGAGACTGGTTATAAGTAATAAAATACAAAATAAAAAGACCAAAAAATATCACAATACGTATTTTGGCAACTAAGTTGCCATCCTCAGTAGACCTGTAAAGTAAAAATGATTAGCTGACTCGCATAGTGGCTGACTCCTTAGTATCTTTCGGATATTGCAGGTCGACCTCTGGACAATATCCGAAAGATAAATCGAAGGAGTTATTGCTAATCATTTTTACTTTACAGGTTGGCAATTTAGTTGCTGAAATACGTATTTAGGTTTCTCTAAATATTATGGTATGGTATGGTATTTTGGGTCTTTATATTTCACCTCGTACAATTTTCTGGATGTTGAGAACATGCCCTACAACTTTTGTATTTGAAGTTTGTTTCTATCTTCAATGATAAACCCTGTAGAAGCTCTTAAATATTCAGGGTGTTTCTTGAGTACGTGTAAAAAAATCAGGAGCATGTTGCTGGCGTCAAAATAAGAAGAAAAGTTGGTATAAACATATATGTCCGCAAGTTATTCATTATTGAGATACAGTCGAGTGTCAAAGGATTCTTATTCCTGTTTTTTGGGAATAAATTTGGTATCTCACTTGAATTCACCAAAAACCGGAATGACAATGAAACTTTATTGACACTCTGTATCTCAGAAACGAATAACTTGTGGACATATGTTTATAAAAACTTTTCTTTTTATTTTGACGTCAGCAACATATGCTCCTGAATTTTGAACACGTACCTACTCAAGAAACTCCCTGTGTACAGAAATGGCCCTGTACATGATGCAGATTTTGATTCTGAAGTAAATTGTTGGGAATTGAGCAAATTGTTATTTAATATATAAATTTAAACATTGTCATGCAAAAATTGGACGTCCTGATTCCGAATCCGAAGTGATTTTCAACCTATCTTGTCTCCCTAATCCATTGTTGTTGGTTAGGTTAGGGTTATTATGTCGGCATTGTATTCTCCTTCTTCTTAATCTTCTTTGTTTCTTGGCGATGGCGAGTTTCTTGCACAGAACTCATATTACTTGTAATATGAGTTCTGTGGTTTCTTGGCCTATCTGTCAAGTATACTACTTACCACTTAGTATCTGTCAAGTATGCTACTTACGACTTAGTATCTGTCAGTACACTTAGTATCTGTCAAGTATGCTACTTACGACTTAGTATCTGTCAAGTATACTACTTACCACTTAGTATCTGTCAAGTATGCTACTTACGACTTAGTATCTGTCAAGTATACTACTTACCACTTAGTATCTGTCAAGTATGCTACTTACGACTTAGTATCTGTCAAGTATACTACTTACCACTTAGTATCTGTCAAGTATGCTACTTACGACTTAGTATCTGTCAAGTATACTACTTACGACTTAGTATCTGTCAATTAGGCTAGTTGACAGTTATATCTGTCAATTATTAAAAAAATATATCATGTGGCGCTTCTACGCTTTCGTAAAGGAATTCTACGATGAATCAGAGAAATAACCAAATTTCAAAAATGAAAACTATATGTGAGTGACTATGGTAGGTACTTACTTTTAAATCATAATGTACCATCCGGATTCCTTCATCTTCTGCTGCAGTTTTTGTGCATTTTACAACAGCACAATGTGATGGCATGAGCGAATTGATGAATAGCGGAGAAATACGATTCGTATGCCAAAATAATTGTGAAACTATTTTGATCACTTGTAAACAAATAAGAAAAGTGACGTTGTGTTTCAAGGTTTTGCCTCCAGCGTCGGTCATCTGACAGTTCTTGCACGCAACCCATAGAACGGCAAAGCTCTGAAATTCTTTGCCAATGGAAGTATGTATTCCCAAGAACTTATAACCTCCAAAAGATGAAAAAAAAAAGGAAGATCCCTAGGTGTAGGCACGATGCTATTCGGCCATTATAGGAAGTTCCTTCCTATAGCTACTAACTTCGATCATACAGGGGGTTTGTTGTTTTGAAACTACTAACCAGAACTCTCAAGGTGTGTTGTCAAAGTGACAAAACTTATTTATATATCGAAGCTCTCGAAATGCTCATTATTATTTATTGAAAGTCGCTCTCATGTACAGTCGTCTTCAGAGAACATGTCGCACATGGACGGTGTCAGCTCTCTTAATCATCGCTGCAGTAAGAGCGCTCATACCGTCCAACCGCGACATGTTCACTGAAGACGAGTGTACGTGTTCATGATGTGTATGATAACGAAGGAAATCAGTCCTCAACGATCACCAGGTGTCTCTAGACAAGGACAAGCATCTGATCTCGAAGCTCTATTCTTGAATCCAAAATATCGATCATAATTCACGAGGTCACCGGTCGTTTTTGATTTTTTTTAGAAAAGAGAATATTTCGTTTTCTCCTTTCACTATGTATATTACTCGTCTTTCATCGGCAAGAAGGAAACATGGTAAAAGTTGTTCCCAATATTTAGTTCGAGTGGAGTCCTGTAGGAAAATTTCAAGAAATACAAGACTTCAAAAAAATAATTATCAACATTGGGTGAACACAAAATGATGGAGTTTTCAATAAAAAATTACACAAAATTGGTTTTATATCATTTGGAGGAAAAATTCTATGTTTCACACGGCAGCAAATGTAGATTAACTGCCTTGGCTGAATTCCTAGCCTCGCTACGCTCGGTCATGAACTATCAGCCGCGGCAGTCAATCTACTACTTTTCTGCCTAGTAAAACAATTAACTATTCTTGTTCCAATGGCAAATCAAGGAGAAAAAACGGAAATGTTTCGGGATTGAGTCCCGATATGATCATATTATCATTGACCTTCAATCAGAAAGTTTTGACAGCATCGCAAATGTAGACCATAGTGTAATGGTTCCACTTCACACCCTGTGTGAGTTTCGTTCTGGGGACTTTTTCACAATGTTCTAGCTTTCCATGGAATTAATGAAATATCACATCTGATATCGAAAACCGCATGAAAATCGGTCACTTTCTGAAAAAATCCCCGAAATAGAGTAAACATATGAATGGTCCATTTAGTTTTCTGAGAACTGTACATTATCAGTTCGTTCTCACCAACAAGAGTATTTTTGTGTTAGAATAATATCGATTGCATGTACGAAATAGAAGAATATCATATTGTTCTGAAGTTTGTTCAAATATATTTTCAATTAGAAAATTGAAATACTTACATGGTCTATTTCCACCACTACTAGTTCTCCTACATTCTGTCACATTCGATCCAACTATTATCAAGGAAACTAAAACACATCTGCTGACTTTCCACATCATTTCAGATCTATTGAACCATAGATTAACGAATAAACTGAACTATATCACATCATCATCGCTAGCAGGCACTAGATAGATTACTTTTTTTGTTGTCGTTTCATTGTTGAATAACAAATTTGATGAAAAAATAACAAAATAATAACATGAAATCTAAACAGGTGATATCATTTCACCTATTTTACTCGACAGTTGACCACAGTCCACCTTTGTCTGTAATGAACGACGTTGAACGACTGAATTATGGATTGTAGAAAAACCCGAATACAGTCGTGTTTGAATAGGTAATTAGGGTAAACTCGTATAAAGAGAAAATTTTAATTCTAGATATGGGTACCTAGCTTTCATGAACATAATACGGGTCATGAATAGCTGATCAATTATAAAACCCTAATAACACAATCATGTCACATGGATATCCTTAGGACGTCCTGTCGGGACATTAAGGACGTCCATAGGACGTTCGAATTTGGTACTGCGGAGTTCGCCAATAAAGACTTACGCGTTCAAACGCAAAGGGTAATTTTGAATATCTAATCGCGTCTCAAGGACGAGAATAATGATTCTCAAGAAAACCACCTTGTGAAGAGAATACTAAAATTACTAACCATATACAGAGTTATTAGAACCGGAGATGTTGTGGATCATGAAATTGAACGTAAAAGAGTGATACAAAAAAAGAAGCTAGACATAGAATTTATAATGAGAATGAGGTGCCAATATTGCCAGATATCAGAGAAGTTGAATGAATACGCGGATTGTGAATATAAATCGTTAAGTACGTTGCGAAATGTTTTACTAGATTGCGGGTTCAGCCATAAAAAATTAGACAAAAGGATGGTGATTATGGGATCAAGACGCATCGTAGACCATCGGCAAGAATATCTACGTAAAATAAAGAAATACCGATAGTCCTGTGATTTATCTAGATGAAACGTGGTTCGACACTCATGATGTTGTTCAATACGCTTGGGTAGATGATAACAAAAACTGTAATTTGAGTAGTCCGAGTTCGAGAGGCAAAATAATTATAATCCTTCACGCCGGCAATGAAAATGGATTTGTTGACAATGCATTGTTGTTGTCTGCCAAAAATATATCAAGCAATCCTTTGCCGATTTCCGATTATCACGAGAATGTGACGGCAGAATTATTTGGGAAATGGGCAGAGCAGCAGCTTATACCAAATATTCCAGGGAATTCAGTCATCTTTATGGATAATGCGTCATACCATTCCCGTCAACAAATGAACACAGAACGAAAAAGGTACGTTATATTAATAAAAAGGTACATCAAATCAGTGAACGTCAACATTAATTTTGGGCCGATGACGGGTGTCATTAATACAATGTACGTTCGTACGTAAATTTTCTTGTTGATTGAGTTATGACTGCAGTACGTTGAATCAACGAATAATGGTCATGGATCTATGTTTGCCGGTTATTGATATTACGAATGGATTTACATTGGTTCATGGTTGTTGTACATTGAATCAATAAACAGCGAGCATGGATCTATGATGATAAACATTGGTCTATGGTTGATGTACATTGAATCAATCAACAGTGAGCATGAATATGTAAGTGCCAGTTACGAAGGACAGACTCAGTTTATTACAGCTGAACATTGAATCAATAATCAGCTAGCATGGATCTATGATCGGCGGTTATTGATATTACGAACGATAGACATCACTTGATGATTTTCTTCATTGAATCAATGAAAAATGAGCATGAATCTATGTTCGCCATTTATCGATGTAACGAATAAATTCTATTGGTATTCAACAGTGGTATAGTCGTCGTCGAAGATAAAGTTGTCAACAGTATCGTCACTATCAGAAATAAGGGGACAATTTTTTCACGCATAAGAGTAATTGATTTCTGAAATTTTGAGAAACCCAAAATCGGCCCAAAATTATCTAGTACATCCACTGATTTGATGTGACCTGATGGATAATATAATATACATTTACAGGCAGTCGCAGAACACTGGTTTTCTTAATGGAATATAATATTTTTTTTTTGAAATCTACCTAATTTTATTGAATAACAAATGTAATGAATATTTTTCAATAAAGTCAACTGAAAATAATTCCGAAATGTCAAAAATACACTGAATGATCGAAGACTGATAAACTTAGACGATATTCAAAAAACGAATATTCGCTCACCTTATACATTTTTTGTCGGAATGAACAAATATTGCCTTTTCCATTCATTATAATATAATTATATTTAAGTACCTGATAATAAGGGAAATGTTACACAGAAATCTCTGCTATAATTCAATCACAAGCAATACCAGTCAGACAAACTCGACAGGGCCAGTCAGCACATTCTTTCTTTGTTAACTTGGAGATATGTTGAACTACACTCTACCAAAACTCGTTCGTCTATAGAACGGCGAAGCTTTGGAATTCTTTGCCAATGGAAGTATTTTCAAGAACTAATAACCTCCAGAAGTTAAAAAAAATCCCAACACCTATACACTCTATACAAGGCAACGGAAATTTTATCAAATCAGGCAAAACACTGATCTGAACACCTTATTAACTTGATTTTCATTTTCTGTAGAAAATAAAATGATAACAATGTGATGGCAATAACCAGTAGTTGTAGAAAGAATAGTACCTTGTGCATCCCACGAGTACCTACCCAGAAAACATTTTGATATGATGGGTACAATAACATAATCGACACATTGAGTTGCCCATAGCAAGCCCAGCACATACATAAATCTCGCATAAATGTGCATAAATGATGGGACTGTAGTGGCCAATTATCGACATTGGGTACATATTAACCGAGATATTAACGAGGTAGGGGGAGAGGTAGGAGGAGGGGTAGGGGTTTCAGGAGTCCAATTGATCTGGAAGTTCTAGTAACTTTTTAATGTTTATCATCATATTATATCAAATAGACATATACCAGATTTCAAGGAAACAATTTATGAATGGCACAATGATATCTTCTCAACCTCTCTCTTCTTTCATGATAAAACCTCTCAGAGTGACTGCTTACCGGCTGGTATATCTACATCTTCATCTTATTTGGGAAGCATTCCTCCAAAATAGATTCTTCGTTGCGAGGTAGGTACTCCTGAAATATAAAATTCTTCATAAGTTATCATGAAGTGGCCTTTCTTGATGTCAGAATTCTTTCTTCATAGAAGTATGAGAAACAAAATACTCTGTTACATGAGTTTTTAACTTGATCAATATATAGTCTGATTACGTGATATATACTTACATATGGAGCTATGTTATTCACTTCAATGATAGAGACAGGTTTCCATAACCTAATATTACTTTTGATAGTAACGAACCAAGCAGTCCATGATAGTTACGCTTCTGGAGAGGTAGGAGCCACTACAATTATTATCATCACAAACACATGCTTTTCATAACATAATTTGGAACACTAGATAGGTAGATTGATACTTACTCAATACATATTATCATCATTGAAGAATCCATCTTCTATATTATCAATTGAGAATACTCCTGCCACCATAACTGCTATTATAACGACAAGGGAAAGTGATGAGCACAATGATATATGACAACAAACCAGAGAAAAACGAAACATACGCTATCACTAGAGTGACATATAATAATTATCCAAATGATCAGCTGATTGTTGATGTAGACGTTCCCAGAAAATCCACCAGTGGGACGAGTAGTGAACAGGATATTGGCCAGTAAGGGGCCACAACTCGTTAGTGCTCAACTCGTTCTATACATCATACCATCACAAGGCCATCATCGTATTTACAACTGATGGTTAATTAGCATAGAAATCATCGACCATTCCAATACACCGGTATCGACACTTTCTCACACTTGCCTGTACTAGGCCGGAATTCTCCCGGTAGTTCAATGTTTGCTGAGTAAATATATCCTAATAGTAAGAATTGTGAAAAAAGTAATTCAAAATTAACAGGACTCACCTTTCTCGAATAGGTTTTCTATCCCTTTGATCCGGCACAATTTCACAAATAGGTATAGGAATTCTACGAGCCGCACAGAAACACAAAACACGACCCAGCCCTTTCAACTCTTCATTAACAACTGAACGAATAGAAATAAAATAAAACGGCAAATGAAAAATTCACCGCTTATTATGAAACCTTTTCATAGTAATAATGTTTGGCGTAATTGATCCATGGGTAGGCAGCATTGATTTGGCCCCCTTTTTTTGGAAGTTGATGTTTCATTTCATGAAATCAACGTTTAGTGTTCATTGAAACAATGAAGACCATTCATTATTTTCTTATGTTTGTTGTTGATAGATCTATGACGAAAAGTTTATTGCTCCAATGATGAGAAACATAGATCAATAAACATCAAACGTTGATTCAATGAATTTTTTCTTCACATGAATAAAAAAAATGATTAACTTTTGATGTTTTTCGTTCATTGTTCAATGTTGACTCGTTCATTGTTTCAGTGTCTTGCGGTATGAACCCATCATCAGAAATGATTGTAATAATCATCGATTCGTAATATTAATGTTCAAAAAATTGACGACCGCCGTTCATTGATTTTACGTACAAAATTATTTTCTGTGAAGATACCGAGCTCCAACACGAAAAATATTATTCAATCTATGGAAATAAGGCATGGAAATATCTTCTAAAAAACTGAAGAAAGAATTACTGGAAATGATCAGGTAACAGAATATCCCGAAGGAATATGTAGTTGATGAACTTTTTGGAGCACACGGCCATACTGTCTCACGTATGCCCCTATATTATTTGTTATCCCATTCAGATAGTCTGGGCCGCGGAAAGTGAGTAAAAATAACCAATCACCGCAATTTAGCGAGTCACTTTTAACCACCATTAGGACAGTAGTTAATGAGATGAACGAGAGTGACATATGAAGAAATTGTGTATCTCATGTAATCAAAAAAGCAAATGAATATTGCATCTTACCACGTAGCAATCTAGTGATCATAAGGGTGAATGAAGATTCAAGACCTTGATAATCCGATAGTGAC